AATTAATTTTTTAGCAAAGGAGTTAGCAATACTTTTTTACCTTCTTTATTTAACTGCATCTTTAAAAATATTCATACTTCTGGAATAGAAAAAAGAACACTGTAAATAAAAGATAAAAACCATGCGAATGTTCGCATGAACACAAAACACTCTCCACAGTTGGTGTCTATTTAGATAATTTTTTCTTCGTCCTTGTTCAACAAGAAAAAATCTTCAGAAGACATCCTGCTAAAATTCGGGAAAAGTAATTTTCCTATGATGTTATTTGGCATGCCGATCCCAATTTCAGAATTGCCTCCTTTTTTATATTTTCTCTTAGTAATTTTGTTACATTAAAAAAGAAATCTCTGGTAACTGCACATCTTTCCATTTAATTATTACTCTTTCCAAAATCCTATCTTTCAACTATGTGGTTTAAAGTATGAAACGAAACATCTTTCTTCTATCGATTATGGCAAAGAGAGTGTTCCGCAAGGCAGCATCCTTGGTCCTATTATATTTTCCCCTTACACTGGAGACATTCCTTTCAATCCTCTTTACTACCATAACAGACGATACCAAAGCGTTTCAGAACCGCGAGACCAATTATTAGCCATGAGAAACCTCTAGGACCAAAGAAACCTGTTCGAAAGAATGTATGAAGAAACGGAGGATCAGACTCAGAGAAACCAAATTTCAAAAAATAACTTCACCTTTTGCCAATTCACTTCTCATCTCTTATTGGGAATGTAATTTATTAGCGAGAATGGAATGGGTTGAACTCCGCCCCTAGGGATATCGAAAAATCTGGAGTGAGTGTGTAACGTCTGAAAAGTAAAAGTAGTTATTAGCGAGAATACATCGCGTTCTCAGTGGTTAATCTGAGGTACAAGTGAGAGGTTAGCTTTTTAGGATATCGACTTAATCTTCATACAAAAGCAAAGAGTTAGTGTTCGAGTGAAAAAAAGTGCACAAAAAGAATATCCTAGGTTGGATCATCCACAATTCCATCATCAGATGATGTGAATGATGATGTGATATATGAATATACTAGGAAGTTGGGTTTGTGCTTCCCAAGCACTGCAGCCTTTTGGCTTAATGTACCTTCCTACTTCAATCGATTAAATCCGTCTTCACAGAAGTATTAGGTTGGAGGGACTGGCTTCGCATTAGAAAATGATATGCGTGGCTGTTTCTTCCTCCTCAATCTGCAGATGGGATAATGATTTATATCCCCGTGTTATTTAGATGTTTTTTCGGATGCCAGTGACAGGTTAATAGTCCTATCACTCCTCTGATGCCTTACTGCAGCAGAAAATTGGCCAGTCTTGGTGAGGGTTGTTTTTGGTTGGATAAAGCGTAGAGTATAATATAAAGAAAAACATTGGTACAACACAGAAAGGGTTTTATACCGCTGCGTTTAATCCATCATGCATGTAGACGGGTGAGTGAGGAATAAATAAGAAAAATAAACAGAAGTCAAAGACATCGAAGAACAAATATAATTGACGAAATAGGCTGAAAATGTGATTAGATCACTGGGGAAAAATGGACAAAGTAAACAACAAAAGGGACTTCTGGTAAACAGAAAAATTAAGAACCCGGACCAGAATACGATATATCCAATTCGTTGTAATAAAAAAATAAAAAATTATATGGCAGATCATACGAATGAATTGTATTCTCTAATAGTCACATACACCCACAAGTAATATAATTTTTTCAAAATAAAATTGTATGATTTAAAAAAAATCTATGACGAGAGATCTACTTACCATTAGTTGTTCAGGGTTTGTTTAAAAATCTCCAATAAAAAAATAAAAAAAGGATTATAATGGAAAGTTTATAAAAAAACATCATTTGGAAATGGTTTTATTTATTAAAAATGGTGTGACATTCAATATATATATCATAATGATTATGGAATAAGATAAAATACATCCAGCGTAAATTAAGCAAAAATCCATTAGAAATTTATTCTGTCCTGTCCTGATAGTTACATCACATAATTTATAATTTAGTTACAAGCAATATCAAACTTTACAGTGGTTTTAACTCACATCATTATTTTACGATTTTTTCGAAATGTTAATGGCAAATGTTTAGAGAAAGTTTATAACATTATTTGTTTCTTAAGTGTTTTTACGTGTATTTAAATAAACGTATGTACAAATTAGTTTTTAAAATGTTCCTAAGAGAGGTTCATCACAGGTGTAAAGGAATGAAAGCCCAGAGTCTATTCCGGTTTGGCGCAAACGTACCGCCCACCAAATCTTTATAAGAAAAATGGTCTTATTGCCTAGTTTGTAGTAAAACTAATTATGGTTCTAAAGGTACGAGAAATTTAATAAGTTGGTGCATTAAAACAATCCGCTACACTATAAAATGAAATTGTCGATTTTTCAGAACGAATCGATGGAGTTTCGAGTTTTTGGTATTATTTTTTTTTAACTGGAAAGGACGATTAAAACGTCTAAGAAAATGCATACACAAAAATTCAATGACTCATTCTTAAGACGTTGAACTTTTCCTTCAGAACTCGATGATGTCAATTAATCCGTTTAATTGCTAAAAGAAAGGAGAAAATTGAAAATTAAATTCAACTCGAATGTAATTTTCATATTTTATTCAATTAGATTTTCCATTTTCTCCTTGGTTTTTGAGTTTCTGGTAGGTATGAATTTTTTTCAAAGAAAAAGTAGTATCAGAATGTGAGAAAAAAAAACAGCCTAAAAAATTCACCCATTTTTTTAATACCTTGAACTTTTCCTTTCGAACTCGATGATCTCAATTAATCCGTTTAATTGCTAAAAAGTAGAAAATTGAAAATTAAATTCAACACTAATGTAAATTTCATATTTTATTCAATTAGATTTTCAATTTTCTCCTTGGTTTTTGAGTTTCTGGTAGGTATGAATTTTTTTTCAAATAAAAAGTAGTATCAAAATGTGAGAAAATAATCAGCCTAAAAAATTCATTGATTTATTTTTAAGACCTTGAACTTTTCCTTCAACTCGATGATCTCAATTAATTCGTTTAATTGCTAAAAAAGGAGAAAATTGAAAATTAAATTCAACTAATGTAATTTTCATATTTTTTTCAATTAGATTTTCAATTTTCTCCTTGGTTTTTGAGTTTCTGATAGGAATGATTTTTTTTTAAATAAAAAAGAGTATCAAAGTGAGAAAACAATTCCTCCTTAAAAATTCAGTGACTCATTCATAATACGTTGAACTTTTCCTTCAGAACTCGATGATCTCAATTAATCCGTTTAATTGCTAAAAAAAGGAGAAAATTGAAAATTAAATTCAACGCTAGATTTTCAATTTTCTCCTTGGTTTTTGAGTTTCTGGTAAGTATGATTTTTTTATGTATCAAAATGAGAAAAAAACACATCCTCAAAAATTCATCGGTTCATTTTTAAGCCGTTGACCTTTTCCTTTATAACCTGTCAATTTCAATTTACCCTTTTAACTGTTTAAAATAAAGGAGTAAAAATCAACTTTTCATTATATTTAATCAAATTTTATCTCGTTTTTTTTCTGTAATTTCATTGTTTTCAAATGAAAAGGAGTTTGAAATGTTTGAAAAAATTTATTCACAAAAGTTCTTCGATTCGTTCTGGAAATATTGAGGTTTTTGTTCAGAACTCGACAATTACTCGTGTAACTGGTTAAAGGACAAAATGGAAAATTTATTGAATAAAAGTTGGATATTTAAATAACACAAAATATCGGGTTGTCCGGAAAATAATGCAGGATTTTAAGTTTTCATTAAAAAAAATCTATATAAAATATTCTGTTTACGTTTACAGGATTACTCATTTGTATGAATGTCAACACTTATTAATCCTCTTCCAAATGATATTGTTTGTTTACCTCTGTAGCATTCCGCTACTTGGAAATAATTCAGTCATCCTTATAATGTCAAAGCGAGAATTTCGTACGATTTTCTTTTACGAGTTTAAACTCGGCCGAAGCGGAGCCCAAACGGCTAGAAACATTAACCAAGTCTGGGGCGAGGGTTGTGTTAATGAGTGCACTGTGCAAAGGTGGTTTAAAAAATTTCGGGAGGGAGATTTCAGCCTTGAAGATGAAGAAGGTCGTGGAAGGCCTTCCTCTCTTAATGATGATGTTCTGCGATCAGTGGTGGAAGAAAACCCCAAAACAACTGTTCGAGAACTTGCAGAGCAACTCAAAGTCAGTAAAACGACCGTCGCTGACCACCTCAAGGCGATTGGAAAAGTGAAAAAACTCGAAAATTGGGTTCCACACTCATTAAACGATCGCCAAAAAAATCAGCGCTTTGATGTTTGTGCATCACTTCTTTGTCGAAACAAAAATGACCCATTTCTGGCCAGAATTGTTACATGTGACGAAAAGTGGATTCTCTACGATAACACTAGACGTTCTGGACAGTGGCTCGACAAAGGAGAAGCTCCAATACATTTTCCAAAGCCCCCAACTCATCAAAAAAAGGTAATGGTTACGGTATGGTGGGCTTCATTTGGTTTAATACACTACAGCTTCTTAAATCCTGGCGAAACCATCAATGCTGAATCATACTGTAACCAAATTAATACCATGCATCAGAAATTGGCAGTAATGAAGCCCTCTTTGGTCAATCGGAAAGGGCCCATTTTGTTGCATGACAACGCTCGACCACATGTGTCACGTGTAACGTCACAAAAATTATTGGAGCTTGGCTATGAAACTTTGCCTCACCCACCCTACTCTCCGGACCTCTCGCCTACTGACTACCATTTTTTTAGACACCTGGACCACTACTTACAACACATAATATTCAAAAATCAAACGGAACTGGAAAATGCATTTATTGACTTTATCAATTCTAAAAATTCTGAATTCTACTCAGACGGAATTAATAAGTTACCAACACGTTGGGAGAAATGTATTGAGAGTATGGGAAATTATTTTGATTAAAGAACATTGCTTTAAAGTAACTAGTTTCTTTTTTTTTGTTTAATACCAAAATCCTGCATTATTTTCCGGACAACCCAATAAATTTTTATGTTCCATTCTATTTTTAATCAGAGTAGATGAGTTTTAGTTTCACAGTATAATTAAGCGATGATCCTCGTGAATTTTAGGAAACAGACTGACCGGAAGCGACCTGACGCGAGCATTCCTGACCTCTCGGACTCTGCGGGATCACGAGTGCTGGAGTAAAAATTGTCTGATGTCCTCAGTCCGTGTCGGAGATTCCAAGCCTCGAAGAGAAGTTACTAGAAGAACTTTTTTTGGATTTGCGGTCGGCGGAAGGTGAATGATTGGTTCTTTGATCTGTGCTGGTGACTGGACATCCGTGTAGATTTCATAATCCCCGCAGCTTAATAGTACCGTTGTAAATTTTATGTGAAATAAAAGGCTAAGTCAAGAACGTTATTGTTTATCCAACCTAGAGCCATTAAAAAACGATAAAATGGAATGTCTGGATGACTGGAACTAATGTTTCTTTTTCTTCGCCTCTATCGGTTTCTTTTTCATCTTGTGGCAAATACACAAGATCAGACGTTTGAGCAATTTCAAAATAACAACTAGGATAAACATTACGATTAGAAAAAACGGCAGAAGTGTGTCGAGGTTGTGCAATTGATAAAACGGTAGTCGGGCGGAATGCGGTTGCAGCGCGTTTTTGTGTTTGATCACGAATTCGATCCAGAAGACTGCTTCTTCCAATGGAGAGTTGGGCCTGTCTCGGAACAGCTGAGACCTCCGTTTGACTTCCGTGACGTATCTGAAATCGTACAGTTTAAAATGCTACTTTTATCAAATATTTTGTCAGTACTTACGAAGGATTGTTGAGGATTTCGTTGATAGCCAGTAACAAATTGTGCTCAGTTAAGTTTTCAAAATTCATCCTAATGCCATAGCCAGCGTTTTCGGCCTGTATTGCGTTTTTGACCTGATCTCCGAAAAACGGTACAGAGATCAGCGGAACGGCATTGTGCACAGCTTCCATAACGCTCAACAACCCACCATGGGTAATAAATAGTTTCGTGTTTTTATGAGCTTAAAAAGATTTACTAAAATAAATTATACTATATCATACAGAAAATATCGTGCGAGTGTTTATAAAAGACATAGCCTTTTATTTTTACGCTGTCTGTTTTATTGTACAACTAAGTCCGGTTCCAAAAGTAATTTTCATGTCGAATCTGCTGGTGTTATTAGAATTTTAATAAGTTTGCGCGTCATGCCGACTTGTTTACCAAAGTTTTTTTAAATGTAATGCCCTATTTTTTGTTTTCCTTCAGACTCCAATAGTTTCAATTTATCGTGTAACTGGCTAAAAATGAAAAAACTGAAAATTTAATTGAATGGAATATGAAAATTTAAATCAACACAAATTAAATTAGTCATTTTGGAGGGGGAACATTTTCATCATTTTGAAAATGTTTACAATTTCATAATTTCAATTTATCCTGTAAATGGTTAAAAAATGAGCAAATTGAAACGTTAAGTGAATCAATTATGAAAAAAAACAATTACATTTGTGATTTTTGAGGATCAATTTTTTTCCACATATTTCAAAAGCCCTCACAACTCGATAATTTCAATTTATCGTATAATTGATTTAAAAAAAAAGAGAGTGAAAGTTCAATTGAATAGAATGTGAAAATTTAAGTCAACACAAATTAAATTAGTCATTTTTGAGGGGGAACTTTTTCATCATTTTGAAAATGTTTACAATTTAATAATTTCAATGTATCGTGTAAATGGTTAAAAAATGAGAAAATTGAAAATTTAAGTGTATCAATTATGAAAAAAAGCTAATTACATTTTTTATTTTTGAGGATGAATTTTTTTCACATTTTGAAAGCCCTCACAACTCGATAATTTCAATTTATCGTATAACCGGTTTAGAAAAGGAGAAAAGTGAAAGTTTAATTGAATAGAATGTGAAAATTTAAATCAACACAAATTAAATTAGTCATTTTTGAGGGGGAAATTTTTCATCATTTAGAAAATGTTTACAATTTCATAATTTCAATTTATCCTGTAAATGGTTAAAAAATGAAAAAATTGAAAATTTAAGTGAATCAATTATGAAAAAAAAAACACTAATTACATTTGTGATTTTTGAGGATCAATTTTTTTCACATATCTCAAAAGCCCTCACAATTCGATTATTTCAATTTATCGTATAACTGGTTTAAAAAAAAAAGAGAAAGTGAAAGTATAATTGAATAGAATGTGAAAATTGAATTGTTGTTGATTTAAATTTTTCATATTTTATTCAATTAATAGTCCCATTTTCTCCATTTTTAATTAATTACACGATAAATATAAATTATCTATTTCTAAAGGAAAACTTCAACATCTTCAGAACAAATCGACACATTTTGTGGATGAATTCTTTTTCACACATTTTGAGTTCGTGATATGATAATTTCAATTTATTGTGTAACCATAAAAAAAGAAAAAAATTGATAATTTAATATAATAAAATACGAAAATTGAGTTTGTGTTGATTTAAATTTTTCATATTTTATTCCATTAATATTTCAAATTTTTCTTTGTTTAGAAATTATCGAGTTCTAAAGGAAAATGTTCACACCTTTAGAACAAATCGATACATTTTTGTGGATGAATTATTTTTCACACATTTTGAGTTCTTATTATTTTCAAAATTTGTAAAAACAATACATATTCACAAGTTCATTGATTCGTTCTTGAAATATTCATTTTTTCCTTCAGAACTCGACAATTTCAATTTATCGTGTAACTGGATAAAAATGGAGAAAACTGAAAATTTAATTCAATGAAATATGAAAATTTAAATAAAACAAAAAATAAACTACTCATTTAGGAGGAACTTTTTCACCATTTTGAAAATGTTTACAACTTGATAATTTCAATTTATCGTCTAAACCTTTGAAAAATGAGAAAATTGAAAATTTACGTGAACAATTGTAAAAAACAAACTAATTACATTTTTCATTTTTGAAGATGAATTATTTTTTACACATTTTGAGTTCTTATTATTTGATCATTGCAATTTATTGTGTAACCATTAAAAAATGGAAAAACTGATTCAAATTTTTTATATTTTATTCAATTAATATTTCAATTTTATCTTCTTTTAACTAGTTGCACGACAAATATAAATTCTAGAGTTCTAAAGGAAAACTAAACTTCTTCAGACAATATGATGAATTTTTGTGGATGAATTATTTTTTACACGTTTTGAAAATTTCACTTTATCGTGTAACTAATAGAAAAAGGAAAAAATTGGACAATTTAATTGAATAAAATATGAAAATTGAAATTGTATTCTTGTTTTAATTTTTTGACCAGTTAAGACGATAAATTGAAATTATCGAGTTCTGAAGGAAAACTTTATTATTTCCTGAAGGAATCGATGAATTTTGGAGAATGTATTTTTTTAAACCTTCCAAATTTCTTTCTATTTGAAAAAGATAATAACAAAAACTCAACAACTCAAGGAGAAAATTGAAAATTGAAGTAAATTTTAAGTTTTTAGAACAGATCGTTGAAATTTTGAGAACGTTTTTTTAAACCTTCCAAATTCCTTTCTATTTGAAAAAGATAATATCAAAAACTCAATAACTCAAGGAGAAAGTTGAAGTAAATTTTAAGTTTTTAGAACAAATCGTTGAATTTTTGATGTCATTTTTTTATTATTGAAAATAGAAACATACTGAAATTTTAACAGCACCAGCACATTCTAAGTGAAATTTTACTTTTAGATCCATACTTTGTTTTAAAATTTAAAATTAAGCATTATTTTTCTTTCGATTCTTAAAAAGTTGTCACGATGATCGGATGTAGCAAAAACGTAATATTTATCGTATACATACAGTTGAGAATATATATTTTATTATAATTACCAAGAATGTCCTGTTGTGGAAACCATTTAGATAGTTTGACATTTTTTGGAGCAGCTGGCAAATTGTCGCTTTCCCATTTCCAGAGTACCCTCTGGTTTAATTTTCTGAATACATTCATGAATGTGTCTACAAGATCTGAATTTAACAGAGTAGATATTTCTATGTTCGATCCGAAGCTAAAGTAGATAACACCATGTTTGGCACCGTTCATGAAGTTTTCTATATCCTAAAAAAATTTTAAAAATTATTCTCATGGGATTTACATTTTTTATTTGATTTATCAACCTTTGGCAGAGGCTTGTTAGGTTGGATGTTTATTCCACCGATTTCCTTCACGTGGGGCGACTTCGGATAAGGGTAACCGACTGAATAATGGGAATTAAGAAGGATCAGTGCTTTGTCTGACATGAATTTACGAAGGGGCGGACGTGACTCCGAGCCGGTATAGTTGAAATACTTATCCGTAAGCCACTGAAACCTCCATTGACCTAGATAACAGACCAACAGGGTCGAATATGTGATGTACGCGTTGTGAAGCCTTTCGAGATAGTTCATGTTGTCGGTGAACTCCGACTTGTAGTCGATCATGTAGGCCGGGTTGTCAGGTAGACCGGCTAATTCGTTGATCCACGCGCTTTCTCCGTGGGGATTGACATCTATGCCAATCGCGTTGAACTTGTGCATGAAAGCCGCCAAAGGCTCTTGGAAAAACAGCGACTCAGTCATGATCACGTCGTACTTCTCGTCGGAATGTATCAACCCTTGAAGTTCTTCAGACTGCAACACTTTTTCGGTCAAAAACAAACCCATTTCGTTCAGCCAGAAAGGTATCACGGGGGAGCTTAATTTTCCGAAATCGATCAAGTTCATTTGTTCTAAAAATAAAAACGCAGAGAAGAAATTTATACTGTTTATTGTATTTGTGATGTAACTTACCGGTCAAGTCTTTAAGATAATTTGGTAACAATAGTTGTTTCAAATTTGCCGGCGGTTGTTCCACAGGAATCGGACCGACAAACATGACATGGTGACCTTTCTTGGCGAGTTCGACTAAAATTGGACGGAAAACGTTGTGGTGGCTTTTGGCCGGGAATGGGAACAAGGCCAAAATTCTAGCTGCGAGAGCATACTCCAAACACGTCGTTAAAAACAAAATAATAATTAACCTGAAATAAAAAAATCTATATTGATTATGATATTACAATGAAATTTTACAGTTTCATTACTTAATTTTTTAAGAAAGTGCATGATCTTTCTTCAATCAACAACAATATAATTAGAAAAATTAACGAAAAAATTCGAATAATTTAAATAATAATTACAATTAATTAAGTTTTTTAGTTGAGATAAAACAGTCAATGGCACGAGCGGGATTCGAACCCACGACCTTGAGCTATCGTGGTCGAGCTACACCAACGACCCATTTCAACCCCACCTTTTGAATTTTCCCTCCTTTTTTAGATGGGACGGACCAAAAGGGGGGGTTGAGATGGGAGGTTAGTGTCCGAGCGGATCAAAGTAACGATAGCTCAAGTGGTAAAGTATCGGCGTATCTAGCCGAAGGTCGTGGGTTCGAATCCCGCTCGTGACACTGACTTTATTATTTTTTTATTTAATCTCAATCCAAAAACCTTAGTTGATTGAAAGAGTCTGCTGGTGCTATACAATTGTAATAACTAAATTCAATAGTTTTCGTGGTCCGCTTGACCAACTACATTTCAATTAATTAAGGTTTTTAGTTGAGATAAAGTCAGTGTCACGAGCGGGATTCGAACCCACGATCTTCGGCTTGATACGCCAATGCTCTACCACATGAGACCTGTGTGTGACCTCGATTCAATCGGACAATAACTTCCCATCTCAACCCCACCCCATGAATGTTCCCTCCTTTTTGCCATTTTTCAAATGTCGTGTAATCTATTTGATTCTTGGAGAGAAATGAAATGACCACGGAGAGCTTTAGTGAAGTATACTTCATTTTGCTTATTACATTTATTAAGTTTCGTGGTCCGCTTGACCAAATAAATTCGTTTCAATTAATTAGGGTTTTGGTTGAGATAAAAAAGTGAGTGTCACAAGCGGAATTCGAACGCAAGACTTTCGGCTAAATACGCCTCTGCTCTACCACTTGGCGTGTTTAGCCGAAGGTCGTGGGTTTGAATCCCGCTTGTGAAACTCACTTTTTTATCTCAACCAAAACTGTAATTACATTCTAACATTGAGAAAGTTTTATTAGGTCGGTTTGTGAAAATTAATTCAATTTTAGATCAACTTGAAAAAAAGGTCTTGGTGAGGTTAACAGTAAATATCTCGAATACTATTGAGAATTTGAGAAAGGTGGGGTTGACCTTTTGAATTTTCCCTCCTTTTGGCCATTTTTCGTGTAATCGGCAAATCGGTCGTGTGAAAAATGGCAAAAAGGAGGGAAAATTCAAAAGGTTGGGTTGAGATGGGAAGTTAGTGTCCGATTGGATCGAGGTCACGATAGCTCAAGTGGTAGAGCAGCGGCGTATCAAGCCGAAGATCGTGGGTTCGAATCCCGCTCATGCCATTGACTTTTTTATCTCAACTAAAAACCTTAATTAATTGTAATATATTAATTGGTCAAGCGGACCACGAAATTAGTGAATTTAAGGAATTAAATAATAATAATAAATGCAATCAGAAGATCATTGAGCATTATAAAGGAATCGCAAGGAATTTGTAATGCCATTATTTGCTCTGACTCGAAAAGTGGTCTCGAAGCAATCAAAAATAATTTCTCGGTTGACCCATATATCTTAGCAATTTACAAATATCCCTATGAAATCAGAACAGTCAACAAACATGTGATATTCGTTTGGGTTCCTAGTCATGTCGACATTTCTGGAAATAAAAAAGCTGATCAACATGCAAGGAACGCCGCAAACCATCCACAAAGAACAGATCAATTTCCTCTCCGCCCAGATGATATAGTCGTTTATGTTAAAAACATTATCAAACGAAAGTGGGCGGCAAGATGGATTGTCTGTAGAGATGGTATGGAAGAAATTAAGCCGGTTGTACGTAAATGGCCAACTGAGGGACTTGAGAGAAAAGAACTTGTGATCCTCTCGAGATTGCGAATAGGTCACATCAGGCTAATCCATAATAGGCTTTTAATAGGCGACAACCTTCCAACTTGTCCTCGATGTATGCGAAGTGCAGAACGCATCATTTTGACAGTAAAACATATTTTGGTCGACTGTCCCACTTTACAACCCTTTAGACAAAGGCTCAACCTTTCGAATGATTTACAGGAGTTTCTGGGTCTCCAGTGTTTCTTTCGAAGAGCGCTTTTCAGCTTTCTCAAATTTATTGGAATTTGTAATGAGATTTAGGCCTTTTCCCAAATTGTTATACCATTGAATGCCTGCTAATATTCGAATGAGAGTTGTGCGTGCAAGATTTCTTTTTTCATAAGTTTTTGAGGCTGTCGGAGCGGAAAAATTAAATGGAAGAAAATACAAATTGCGGGGTAATAAACTGCAATGCTCAAAATCGCAATTTAAATAAGAAAAATACCTCCCTCAAAAAAAAGTGTTATTGTGTTTTGTTTCTTCTTATTATTATATAGAATTAGCTTATGTATCATATTTGAATGGAAGAATAAAAGGATAAGGATGAACCTAAAAAATCCGTATATACGGTAGTCATAATTGACCTATTTATTATTTAAATTAATTATACTTTTTATGTAAGGTTTTGGTTGAGATGAAAAAGCTAGTGTCACGAGCTGGATTCGAACCTACGAATTTGGACTCAATATGCCGCTGCTCTAACCAAGTGACCTATCGTCCACACGGACGGTTCCTAAATATCTGAAGAAATCTTGAAAAATATATCAAATGTATTTTTTTTCATTACCAGAGGATTCTAGGAGCCATAGTTCACTTAATGTGGAACTGCGGTGACAATGGGTCGTACACTGTGGCCAAAGCGGGGATGCAACCTGAAAAGGTGAGCCTCGTGTCCTCGGTCACTTCTCTTTCTCAATCCAGGTCCTTCGGCAGGCATATTTTTTTGAGACCTCTCCCAAACTTTGGATGTAAGGAGGGTATCCAGGCGCAACGTTATGGTGTAGCCTTGGGAGCCTGGCAACCTCTCTAAAGCTCAACCAGTATTCGTGTCGCCATCCGGGTCGGCAGCGGACGGCGGGTGCTGCATGAGAGGCTCACGAGGGTTAGAATACCAGATCCTGTCTACAGGGGGAGGCTTCATAACCATCTGACCTAGGGGTAGCAGAAAATGTTCCAAGTCCAGCCCTGGTGCATGGGAATGGACTCGTAGTGGCTTAGTGGCGATGCTCCAGGCAAGAACATAGTGTGAACCTGTTGCTCGGGGGTACCATTCCCGGTTTCCTTCCGAGGCAATGTTCCTCTAGGGGGTGGTTAGCAATTCCACTTTAAACAAAACCGCGGCCAGGTCGGATCCGAAACTTCTTACGCTGGAGGAGCCACAATATTCTGGGAGATAGAGAGCCTTCTCTATCTAGGGAGCCGGCGGGACGACCCAGGCTGATGCATTTCAGCCATCTGAGGTTATTCTTTGCAGCCCCATCCTCTCGGAATGAACAAGCGGAGAGCGAGGTCCGCGTCTACACCAAAACTTGGGGCTGTAACATCCATCGTGTCGCGAGCGGAGGTGCGTCATCTTCATCTTGAGAATCAAAATGTCCGATAGGGCCGAAAGGCTAGGTACGGACGTTCAAGATCCTCATGTCCTTTTAATGGTTCAGAGTAAATACGGGAAACAATGTCTTTGTTGTTCCCAAGAATGATGATTCGGTAAAATGTGGTAACTGAAGTTAACTGAAAACGAGCACATTTTGACACTTGCTAACAAAACTCTCACCTTTAAAACTGGAAAACTACTAGGGTTCTATGTTACCAACTTCTTAAAAGTGCGTGTAAGGCTTGGGAGATGATCACACTAATGCGCTTTACCGTTACTAAATACAGGTACGTCGATGAAGGCAAAGATTCAGATAATGACGAAACAAATAGATGTATGAATTTCCAAACTTATTGAGTAGTACCATACAATAGATACAAACAGAAAACTCGTTTCATACAACAAACCCACACAACAACAAGGGCTAAAAACAGTCAGTTTCCCCCCCCAACAACTTGCTATACATGTACTGCTTAACGACTCGGAATGCTTTATGTCAACCGAGCTTGCGCATAACGCACGCGTTTAGTTCCCGATGCATATTAATGATGAGACAGTGATTGATGAGCCAGTTAGCCAACTTTCAAGATCATGTAGCTACATAGGCCTCCTTCCGCGGAAAGCATCGATCAAAAGGTTTCTCGCTTTCTGACACCTTGTCGAAAAACTTCGTTACGGCATAGGGCTCAGAAATTCTCGAGGAACCACCTGTCAAGGGAATGTCATATTTAACGATCGTCTCCGCGATATCAACCGATTTTAATACCAAATCTTTGGAATTTTGTTTGTACAAAAATAAGTTGGAAATCAAGGACGATGTAATATCCGAGCGCGAGGTAGGATGACTTGTAGAAGTGAGAGTCGATGTCAAGGTCAGGATTGCCTCACCTAACGTCTAATTACATTCTGTAGTAGATTTAGTCTGACATAACTTACTCAATAAAAACACAATGAAGAAGATAAGATAAAATGTACAATTAAATTGTACCTATAAGTACATGGGAGATAGGTTTTGATCAACGCCCCACGAGGTGTACGGAACAAAATTCCCATTTACAATTTTTTAGTTTTATATTTTTTGATGATCAAAGATTTCGGCATCAGATTGAAAAGTCGATAAAAATTAACAGAGTTTATTTCACTAAAAACAGTTTAATGTGGACGATTTGGTAAATATTCTGACAGGAAAAAATAAAAAAAATTCAGACCAAAGACAGAGAAATAACTACTTATAAAAGGGCATTATTGACATAAAATATCTATGTTACTGATTATTAACGTTATTAACTGTTATAACGCAGGCCATAAGAAAAAAACCCACTTTCAGGACAGTCGAACAGATAACTAAGTTTAAAAGAAAAGTTAAAAACGATGCCTTTGTTCTTTATAATACCTCATGGCCGTTCCGAATTGCGCGTCCACTTTTATCACCACAACCACATCACTGAACTCCCAGGAAGCACTGAACCTGGAGATCGTGAAACGCGTTGGTGGGGGACGTCGGAACCGGTCAATCATAACTATTAACTTGAGACGTCTTCCTTTTTATAAATCGATTATACATTCAGTTAAAAATCATGAAAACCGTTCAAAAATGTTGGTATCTAAGTACAATATATAAAATATTTTTATAATTTATACGTATTTGTTAAGTGGCCATTATTGACCATATTAATTAAGGTTTTAAGTTGAGATAAAAAAGTCAGTGTCAGGAGCGGGATTCGAACCCACGAACTTCGGCTTGATACGCCGCTACTCTACCACTTGAGCTATCGTGACTTCGAACCCCCCGGGCACTGACTTCCCGAATCAACCCCACCTTTTGAATTTTCCCTCCTTTTTGCCATTTTTAAAAAAAGTCTTTGATCGGATTGGATTCTCGGCGACAAATGAAATGGCCACAGAGAGCTTTAGTGAACTATACTTCATTTTAATTCATTAAATTCACTATTTTTCGTGGTCCGCTTGACCAATTAATAACATTCAATTAATTAAGATTTTAAGTTGAGATAAAAAAGTCAGTGTCAGGAGCGGGATTCGAACCCACGAACTTCGGCTTAATACGCTGCTACACTACCACTTGAGCTATCGTGACTTCGAACCCCCCTGGCACTGACTTCCCATCCCAACCCCACCTTTTGAATTTTCCATCCTTTTTGCCATTTTTTCAAATGTCGTGTAATCGGATTAGATTCTCGGCGACAAATGAAATGGCCACGGAGAGCTTTAGTGAAGTGTACTTCATTTTAATTAATTAAATTCACTATTTTTCGTGATCCGCTTGACCAATTAATAACATTCAATTAATTAAGGTTTTAAGTTGAGATAAAAAAGTCAGTGTCACGAGCGAGATTCGAACCCACGACCTTTGGCTAGATACGCCGCTACTCTACCACTTGAGCTATCGTGACGTCGATCCCCCCAGGCACTAATTTCCCATCTCAACCCCACCTTTTGAATTTTCCCTCCTTTTTGCCATTTTTAAAAAAAGTCTTTGATCGGATTGGATTCTCGGCGACAAATGAAATGGCCACGGAGAGCTTTAATGAACTATACTTCATTTTAATTCATTAAATTCACTATTTTTCGTGGTCCGCTTGACCAATTAATAACATACAATTAATTAAGGTTTTAATTTGAGATAAAAAAAGTCAGTGTCACGAGCGGGATCTCGTGAATTGACCATATTAATTATTCCAATTGATTATTCTTTTCATCTGTTTTTGGCTGAGGTGAAAAATTAATGTTACGGATTCGAACCCACGACCTTCAGCTCAATACGTCCTTGCTCAGTTGTCACGATAGCTCAGGTTATTAGGGCAGCGGCATATTGAGCCGAAGGTTCAAGCCAATTCCAGTTCATTTTTTAAAAACTAACGAGCCATTCCTTGATGTTTTTAATTTTGTCAGTTATGGTATAATCCAAATCTCAAACTTCGAGTCAAAAATCGTGTCCGTTTGTCATCGATATATAACCAAAACACCAACCGTAATCTTAAATTCCTAACCCTAACCCTGACATTACCTAATTAGTCCCAAATCCATCCTAACCCAACCCACAAATCTAACCTAACCTAACTCCACCAATCACCCATGTGTATCTTGGATCTTTATCGTGTAAATGGATACAAATGCTCACGCAAAAACAATTGTGTTCACATCCAAATGTTATCTACGTTAAAAAAGATTCAATTCACTAATTTCGTGGTCCGCTTTACCAATTAATACATTACAATTAATTAAGGTTTTTAGTTGAGTTGAAAAAAAGTTAATGGCACGAGCGGGATTCGAACCCACGATCTTCGGCTAGATACGCCGCTGCTCTACCACTTGAGCTATCGTGACCTCGATCCACTCGGACACCAACTTCCTATCTCAACCCCACCTTATGAGTTTTCCCTCCTTTTTGCCATTTTTCGTTCGTTTTGTTCGAATCCCGCTCGTGCCATTAACTTTTTTTCATCTCAACTAAAAACCTTAATTAGTTAAAAAAGATGGTGAATTTATTTTTACAAAAGATTCCAGAAATCATTATATTTCATGAAAACCAAAACGGTTGTTGCGATACCGTGAAGAATCAAGAAATTTATTTTTAGGCATATCATCGGGAATATAACAGAAAAGAAGATGAATTTTGAATTTGATAAATTAATTTTATTCCTGAACTTCTTCTTTTTTCTCTTGGACCAAACTCCGCTGCTAATGAAAATTAAAAAATTGTTATGATAGATTTTTTAAGATTTCCTCAGAAACATGGGGACCGCGGTGGCCAAGTGGTTTTGGCGACCGACGTGTATTTGCACCGCCGGCGGTTCTGGGTTCGAATCCTGGCATAGCCGATGGAATTTCTCCTGGCTACAATTTTGTTAAAAATATTGCAAAGTTATTTTGACCCTCTACTGCGATACCCAACTGGTAGTTGAATCTTTATGTACGACTAAACTAAATTCATTTCTACTACAATGACAAAAGTACAAAAAATCATTAACGAAGTTCGATTTTATTCATTTTAATTAATTATACTTTTTATTTAAGGTATTGGTTGAGATTGTTTTCGTCTTCGATTCTTGGTGAATCTTGATTACACGATATTTGAAAAAATAGCAAAAAGAGGGAAAATTCGAAAGGTTGTAGGTTTGAGATGAGTTCCGTGTAGACGAAGGTCAATTGGTAAGAGCAGCGTCATATTGAGTCGAAGGTCGTAGGTTCGAATCCAACTCGTGTCACTAGCTTTTTCATCTCAGCCATTACATAAAAAGTATAATTAATTTAAATAATTAATAAGTCAATTATGACTACCGTATATATGAATTTTTTATTTTATTATTATTATTTAATTTATTTGAATTTTTTTCGTTAATTTTTCTATTTATGTCAACTGATAAAGCAGCGGCGTATTGAGCGGAAGATCGTGTGTTCGAATCCCGCTGGTGACACTAATTTTTCATCTTAACCAAAAACCTAAATAAAAAGAATAATTAATTTATAATTTTTGAAAAAAGATATATAAATGACTATATATAAATCTACAGGACGAATCTTAAAGATTTACAACCTGGTTGAATTTGTTAGAACTGATATAAGTATTTTTAACTTTAATTAACATTAAATATGTAAACCCACAATGAACGAAATATTTCTATGATAGATATAATACATAAAAAATGTAAAAAGGTTTATTTAAACCAATTTCAAACAGGCCAGAATTAGATAGAGACCACATTTATATTTATCTTAAAATTATAATAAATTATGGAAAGTACACAAAAGATTGACTACAAAAACATTGAAAATTTAAATAAAGAAAATAATGAAAATGAAGTAAATACCTTAAAACCACTCCGCATAAATATAAATGAAGATAACCTTAACCTACAGGAAGATTCGGAAAAAATAATGCCCAGTACAAAAATTTATTGACACATAAAAATGTAACGAAAAACCAGTTACAATTCTTTATGATTCCTAAGAGGTGAATATCACATTTAATACAATTTATTATATCTTTGTTATTTTTATCGTATTAAGATTAATTTATTTTAGACAGGGTGTCCTGTGATCAGATGTCAATACTCCAGTATGTTATCCTGCATGTCAAATTTGACGAAAATATCACTATTATTCTCAATTGCATTTGAGATTGTTCCCTTTTCCTGTTACTTCAACTTTTCGCAACTTTTTTTCTCCAGAAAGGTACCGCATGTCCTAAAATATTAAACTTACAATCAATTTTATTGCTTCAATGGAGAGAACAACAAAAAACCTATGAGATTTATTTCTTATTTTTTTTTAAATTGTAACTTTAAGCAAAAAAATAGATAACAAAGAAAGTAAATACAAAAAAGTTAAAAGAAACTTTCACGAGTTTTCAGTGTTCTTGTCTATAGTTGAAGTAAGCTTTTATTGGTTCTGTAAATACTGACAGGTATTACGCATACAGAAAAGTTCCATGAAATGAACTTTAACCATATATACTAAATTTCTCAAAGGTCAGTTTTCATTAGTGTAAAATTAACTTTTAATTGCACAAAAGTTCATTTTTTGGTTACAAATAGTATAAAAAACTCATTTTAAGACTTTTGTTAAACATTTGTATAAAAATAATAGAAATTAAACAAACAATACTCTTTGGCCTCGGTATTTAACAAAAAAAATCAAGCTTCAATAAATTAAATTAAAATTTCCAAAATGTTCTATGACCTTCTTAAAGATTATGCAAGCCTGACATCGTTACCTGGCAGATCTTTTTATGTTTTCTTATTTTGGAAGCTTTGCAGCTTGCTTAATTTTGTATCAAAGAGGTTTTTTAGTTTACTTGTATTACTTTCGTCATTTTAATAGAAGCTTTAAAATTAGTGATAACTAATGTTTAATTTTTTTTAACCATTTGTAACCCTTCGAGAAATTACAAACCTTTACATTTCATAAGTAGATTAAATCAATTATTCATTAAACCCCATGGTGAAAAAAAACTGACTTCACAGAAAAAATAAAAGTGTCCACAACCATCATCAAACCCCATGGTGAAAAAAAACTGACTTCACAGAAAAAATAAGAGTGTCCACAACCATCATCAAACCCCATGGTGAAAAAAAAACACTGACTTCACAGAAAACATAAGAGTGTCCACAACCATCATCAAACCCCATGGTGAAAAAAAAAACACTTACTTCACAGGAACAATAAGAGTGTTCACAACCCTCATCAAACCGCATGATGAAAAAAAAAAACACTAACTTCACAGAAAAAATAAGAGTGTCCACAACCATCATCAAACCCCATGGTGAAAAAAAACACTTACTTCACAGGAAAAATAAGAGTGTTCACAACCCTCATCAAACCCCATGGTGAAAAAAAACACTGACTTCACAGAAAAATAAGAGTGTTGACAACCATCATCAAACCCCATGGTGAAAAAAAAACAGTGACTTCACAGAAAAAATAAGAGTGTCCACAACCATCATCAAACCCCATGGTAAAAAAAACAAAACACTGACTTCACAGAAAAAATAAGAGTGTCCACAACCATCATCAAACCCCATGGTGAAAAAAAACACTTACTTTACAGAAAAAATAAGAGTGTCCACAACCATCATCAAACCCCATGGTGAAAAAAAACACTTACTTTACAGAAAAAATAAAAGGTCCACTACCCTCATCAAACCCCATGATGAAAAAAAAAACAGTGACTTGACAGAAAAAATAAGAGTGTCCACAACCATCATAAAACCCCATGGCGAAAAAAAACACTGACTTCACAGAAAAAATAAGAGTGTCCACAACCATCATCAAACCCCATGGTGAAAAAAAAACAAAAAAAAACACTGACTTCACAGAAAAAATAAGAGGTCCACAACCTTCATCAAACCCCATGATGAAAAAAAAACACTGACGACAGAAAAAATAAGAGTGTCCACAACCATCATCAAACCCCATGGTGAAAAAGAAAACACTGACTTCACAGAAAAAATAAGAGTGTCCTCAACCATCATCAAACCCCATGGTGAAGAAAAAACAGTGACATCCCATATTAAAATAAGCATAAAGTCTGTTGTTGGGTCCGTCTTCACTCGCGAGTTATCTTCATCATTAGTCTTCTTCAGTGAGGAACTAAGAGTTACCTGACAGTCAGCTGCAGACTAACAGCGAGCATCAACTCAAAAATTGTTGTCACAACCTTCGTCAAACCCCATGTAGTCATGGCGTGGAAGCTTATCTTGACGTATTGACATCTGTTCTCTGGACACCCTGTTAATAAATAAACTAAAAATGTTAAAACAGATCATGATTTTTTTATCAATCCAAATGAGAATCAATAAACTTAACAAGAAGTGAGAGGAATTTAAAAAAAATTTAAGATTGAAAGTTATTGTCAGAACTGTGCAGCATATATCGTTAAAAACGATACAATGGCACATTTGTTTAGAAAAGAAAATACATTTTTTAATACAATAAATAATTACTAATTAACAATTAATAATATATTCTGATATTATACAATATTTTCATTTTTTCTTTTTCTTAAAAACTTGTGGCGATTTTTTCCCTTTGAGGAATAATGAACGGGATAATTTAACAATATAAATTAACACGGTGATAATGACCACCATGGTAAAAATAATATCTAAATTGTGGAGTTGATAGAATGGAAGAAGTGCAGACTTGGGCTGGAGAACGTTTCCGTTCCTGATAACAAACTCTATCCAGTAGACCGCCTCTTCCAGGGGCGCCCTAGGCCTGTCGTGGAAAAGTTCCGATCTCCTCTTGGCATTTATTGTGTAACTGCAATAAAAAATGTAAACTTTATCATTTATTATTGGTCTATAGCCTCTTACATATATGGTCTTATTGTTATTTTTTTCTAATTCGTTGAAGAAGGCGTGTTCTTTTAATTATTGGATAATGTAGTTATTCTTAATCTTATTTTCTTTATTGGAAGGAATATTTATGTTGTATATTTGATGGTATGTAGAATCATACCAGATTTCTTCGTTCATAATTCTTTACAATTGCAGCATTGCTTAAGACCGTTATTATCTAAGCCATCTATGAGGTCCTGTCCCTTAAGCCATGAATGGGGATTCGAATTTAGTTTGTCTTCTATAGCTGAAAGTATTTAACTTGAAAGTTATAGTCTGGTCGTAGGTAGATAGGATGTCAGTACATTAGAAAATAGCTTTGATAAATCGTCTGATTTTTGGTTAATAGGTATATTTGTACGTATTTCACGTTAGTTTATCGTCTATAGTTAAAAAAAAACTTGAAACTAATGCGTTTTTGTCTAAGTCTTGTCTTAAGTTTCTGTCTTCTAAGAAACGTGTGGGTATTCAACGTTAGTTTATAGTCTATACTTGAAAAAACGTACCTGGAAACTAATATTCTTGTCAATCAGTAGGTAGTGTGGTAATTAAAGAAGAAAAAGTGCTTTGATAATTCGTCTGAATTTTGGTTAATAGGATGGGTTATGTTGTAACATTGGACGGTTTAAGAGAATGGTCTAAGTAATGTTTCCCATCGAAGTCATTGTTTTTGTCTAAGTCTTTTCTTATGTTGCTGTTTTCTAAGAAATTTATGCGTATTTCACGTTGGTTTATCGTCTATAGTTAAAAAGAAAAACTTGGAACTAATATGTTTTTGTCTAAGTCTTGTGTTCAGTTCCTGTCTTCTAAGAAACGTGTCGGTATTCAACATTAGTTTATAGTCTATAGTTAAAAAATCTTAACTGGAAACTAATATTTTTGTCATCAGTAGGTAGTGAGGTTAGTACAGAAAAAAAGTGCTTTGATAATTCGTCTAAATTTTGGTTAATAGGATTGGTTATGTTGTAATATTGGACGATTTAGGAGAATGGTCAAAGCAATGTTTCTCATCGAAGTCATTGTTGTTGTCTAAGTCTTTTCTTATGTTCATGTCTTTTAAGAAATTTGTGCGTATTTTACGTTAGTTTATCGTGTATAGTTAAAAAAAACAACTTGTAACTAATATGTTTTTGTCTGTCTTTTCTTATGTTCCTGTCTTTTAAGAAATTTGTGCGTATTTTACGTTAGGTTATCGTCTATAGTTAAAAAAAACAACTTGAAACTAATATGTTTTGTCTAAGTCTTTTCTTATGTTCCTGTCTTTTAAGAAATTTGTGCGTATTTTACGTTAGTTTATCGTCTATAGTTGAAATTACTTAACTTGAAAATATTATTCCGGTCATCAGTAGGCAGAATGGTTAGTACGGAAGAAAAAGAACTTTGATAATTCGTCTGAATTTTAATTAATAGTAATGGTTTTGTTGTAATATTGGATGGTTTAGGAGAACGTGGTCGAAGTAAAGTTTTGCATCAAAGTCATTGTTTTGTGGACAAAACATGGATAAACGGATTTGAGGGGTATCGATTTTTATGAAAATTTTGGTAGTAGATCGAAAAATATTAGTCTCATGTTCAAGCCTACTTACCAATGGCCCGAGGGGGGGACTTTTTTTTAAAACCTAATTTAAGTAATTTTTATAAATGTTTTTGTACCTTAATTATGCATTTATGTCAAGGTTATTTATATTATTTCATCTGGCCATTTACGCGAAATAAGAAAATGTTATGCAGGATTGTATTAAATGAGTTGTATATAAAAAGTAAGTAGGCCAAAAAAAAATTTACATTAGAAAAAAGTTCAGATTCGTTTTAAGCTCCCTTTAAAGCCCTAAAATACAAATTTTCTTACAATTTAAAAATGAGACATTTTTTAACTTGCAGCCGCGGGCATTTTTATTTTTTTTTATTTTTTAATCGGAGGTGTCAGGTTATCCACATAAAAATTCATAATTCCTGTGGATTTGATGTAATTTCATCGTAATTGAAAATGAATCATTCTTTTTATGTAAGGTCTTTGTTGAAATGAAATAGTTAGTGTCACGAGCGGGATTCGAACCCGCGACCTTCGGCTCAATACCGCTTGAGCTATTGTGACAAGTGTAGACCAGCGCCGTAATGAGCCGAAGGTCGTGGGTTCGAATCCTGCTCTTGACACTAACTATTTCTTCTCAACCAAGACCTTACATGAAAAGAATAATTAATTAATTTGGTCAATTAGACTACTAAACATAATGCAGTTATTGAAAATGTTCAAAAGCTTAAAGTTTCTTCTTTCCGTCAATGTCAACAAAGTTTATATTTAAAGATATTGTCGGTTGGGGAAATAAATATGAAAGCAGAATAAAACTTCTAAATGTTTTTTTGTTTTTTTTTATATATCTCCAGTTTTAATATTTTCACGGAAGCAAACTTTGCACCAATTTATGTAATTTATAGTAGCCTCAATTCAAGTAAACTCTCTTGTAAAGCTGAGGTGTCGTTTTAAAATTATAATTATTTATACAATTTTCGAAAGAACATCACGGGTATATTTGAAAAGAGAAAAATTAAGTTAGAAAATTATTTTTGTTTTTCATAAAAATTTGTATTCAAGGGTGTTTGATGTGTAAAACTCGAATATCAAATTAGTATTTTGATTAAAAATTATTTTAACCTACCTTTCCTTGGTCCCAATTTACGTAATGTATTTACGTATTTCCCAATTAAGTACGGGGGCAAGAAGGGAAAATAAAAGAGAAGAAGAAAAAATAAAATAATTTTTCAGAACCTACGCTATTCCCGGCAAATGTGCAATTTTGACGTAGTGGTCAAGTGACTGACTGAAGTTAAAATATATAAAATTCAAATATATTTAAAAGGGTTAAGGTTTTTTTTTAAACTCAGCACTTATTGTCCATTGACAAGAATACTTGGACATCACAACAAACTTTTAATTAAAACCGTTGACTTTCCGCCCCCCCTAAGTCACTTCTACCACACAGTTCAATCACAATCAATATAATATAAATCACCCACGTATCAATATCTTACGTTTCATCGTTGAGTACTTTGTCGATCGCCCATCTCAACGACGTCTCGGTTAAGTTGTTAAAATTCAGCCTGATGCCGAATCCACCAGCCACGACGACGTCCGAGTTTTTCGGTTGATCTCCGAGGACTGGTACAACTATTAGAGGTACTGCATGGCATACGGCCTCAAACAGACTCAAAATACCACCTTGAGTTATAAATAGTTTTGTATTTTTATGTGCTGAAAAAGAAATATTTATCAGTCTACGCCAGAGTACTTTCAAGTCATTTCAAGATATCCTAATTGAGTATAAGCTCGGAATTTTAAAATAGAACACTGAATGGCAAAAAGGGAAATACGGCAGACTAAAAAAGCAAAGATAAAAGAGCCAGGAAGACTACCGGCCAAAATATAGCCTCATCCTTTCAGACCATTTGTTCCTTGTTATGCTTATTCCTTCTCAAACCTTTCTGTCTTTCTGAAGTTAATATGTTCTTACGTTAATTATTTTCACTATATTGGAAACCTTCCTCAGAAAGCCACAGTATTTTTAACCATTATATAACCCAGGCTTTCCTCTCTTATGGAAATATTCTGCACTCTGTTAAACTATTACAATTAATTAGGGTTTTTAGTTGAGATAAAAAAGTCAACGGCACGAACGGGATTCGAACCAACAATCTTCGGCTTGATACGCCACTGCTCTACCACTTGAGCTATCGTGACCTCGATCCACTCGGACACCAACTTCCCATCTCAACCGCACCGTCCGAGTGGATCGAGGTCACGATAGCTCAAGTGGTAGAGCAACGGCGTATCAAGCCGAAGGTCGTGGGTTCAAATCCCGCTCGTGCCATTGACGTTTTTATCTCAACTAAAAACCTTAATTAATTGTAATATATTAATTGGTCAAGCGGACCACGAAATTAGTGAATTTAACTCTGTTAAACTCTTAAAACTGACATACCTCCCAATCACATATCCACCAACAGATTCAGACTTCTATGTCCAAAATCTTTGGAAAACTTCTTTTACTACTTGCTGAAGTCGGGAGGAGTGGTCAAGAGCGAGGTAGTTTAGAAAACTATTTTTTCCTTTTTGCTGACGTTTCGACCTTTATTCGGGTCATCGTCAGGGCATAAATTGTGATACTATTCTTGCGGTGTCGTATTGATTTTATGTGAAAGTGTTGTGTTCTTCTAGAGCAAAGTCTTCAAACTTTCAATCTACTAGACATCACAACCAGATGCCGAATTTATTCAAGTCAGATATTTAAGATGTAGACAACAAACTCTTACTTCCAATGAGCTTATGGAATCACGAGAAAAGAATTAACAGAAAACCTACCTATGAAGAATTTTATGACCGAAATCTATTTTAACAGCCAAAACTCAACTAACTCTAAATTGCCGCATCCACATTGGACATGTGGTGTGGAGTCCACTGTGCAACGTCCAGCTCATCCCATCCTTTCACTGAAATGTCCTCAGACAAACCATCAAGCTCTTTACTATGTCTGTTACGACCTCTATTCGGGTCATCTTCAGGGGATAAATTGTGATGATATTCTTGCGGTGTCATATTGGTTTTTATGTGAAAGTGTTGTGTTCTTCTAGAGCAAAGTCTTCCAACTTTCACTCCACTAGACATCACAACCAGATGCCGAATTTATTCAAATCAGATAATTAGGACCTAGTCAGCAAACTCTTATGGAATCACGAAAAAATAATTAAAAGGAAACCTACCTACCAAGAATTTCAGGACTCAACTAACTCTATAAACTACTGCAACCACATTGGACATATGGTGTGGAGTCCACTGTGCAATGTCCAGCTCATTTAATCCTTTCTCTGAAATGTCCTCAGACAAACCATCAAGCTCTTTACTATGTCTGTTACGACCTCTATTCGGGTCATCTTCAGGGCATAAATTGTGATGCTGGTGTCTTATTGGTTTTGTGGAAAGTTTTGTGTTCTTCTAGAGCAAAGTCTTCCAACTTTCACTCCACTAGGCATCACAACCAGATGCCGAGTTTATTCAAGTCAGATAATTAGGACCTAGACAGCAAAATCTTATGGAATCACGAGAAAAGAATTAACAGGAAACCTACCTAACAAGAATTTCAGGACTCAACTAACTCTATAAATTACTGCAACCACATTGGACATATGGTGTGGAGTCCACTATCCAATATCCAGCGCATCCAATCCAGACATATCGTCAAAGCTCTTTTCTATGATTATTACTTTTGTCAACGAACTGTTCCTGCTTCCAAAAGATCCACACGAAGCTTTCGATCATACTTCCAAACACTTTCCCACCCTGAGATGCCCAAAACGACATGTCTTGGATATCAATTTCACATATTGAGTGCTGCAATTGGATGTTTTCTCTTACATTGTCCTACGGGTCATGTGCTGGTGAAGGGTCAATGTAAGTTGAAAAAAAGAAGAGTACGGTAACGGTGAAAACTAGTTAAGGTTTTTAACGAAAGTTTTGAAAAAAAGCTCGTTTCTGGTTGTGGCGTTTGGTATTTCTTAATAGTTAATCGTGCTCTTAGTAAGTTCATTGTAACATAAAAATTTTGAAATTTTAATATACAATTCAATAATATGGATGAGTTTTCTATTACCCAGTATATCACCCTGAGGGAACCATTTGGAAAATTTAATGTTTTCGTGTATTCCTGGTCGCTGGACGCCATCCCATTTCCAGAGAACCTTCTGTTTCAATCCACTCAGGACTTTAAAAATTATTTGCTGCTCATCGCTGCTCGTTTCCGTCGAGCTGTTGAAATTCGTGCCGAGGCTGAAATAAATAACCCCGTGTTTCGCTTCGTTCATGAAATCTTCCAAGTCCTGAAAATAATAAGTTTATTATTTCGATAGTTTAAAAAAAGCAGTACTTACCTTTGGAAGAGGCTTGACGGGTAGAACGTTGACACCTCCGATCTCTTTGACATGGGGAGCTTTCGGATACGAATACCCGACGGAATGGTGGGAATTGATTAAAACCAAGCTTTTATTAGCAACCAGCTTTCCGATCGGTGGCCTGTCTTCCCAGCCTGTATAATTAAAGTATTTATCGACCTGTTTTTGCATGAAAAACAGTCTGTAATATTGCGACAGGGTGGTGGCGATAAGGATAAACATATTGTAAAGTCTATCTCGGTAGGTGAATTCCCAGATTGGTTTACCGAAATTAGCTTTGTAATCCAACATATATTCGCTGTTGCTTGGTAAACCTGATAGCTCGTTCACATCGACCACATCGCCTACTGGATGTATGTCGATTCCGATTGATTTAAACTTGTGGACCAGGGCTGCTACTGGCTCCTGGAAAAGCATTGAAGACGACAATACGACGTCGAACTTTTCATCGGAATGTATAATTTCCTGTACACCGCTAGAAGAGAACATCTTGTCGTTCAAATCTTTTGTAAATCTCGCTAGAAAAAATGACATTTCTATGGCCGAGTAGGAGGCCCAATTTCGTATATTAATCACACCTGTTGAACACGAGACGGCAGTAGTAAACATAAAATTTAAAGCTATGTGTGACAACTCACCTGAAAATTCATCCCTGTGGTTTTCAATCATTATGTGCCGCATGTTTGCACTGGCAGGCTTATAAGGAAAAGGTGAAACGTACGTAACATTATGACCTCTATTCGCTAGCTCGTTGAGAATCGGTCTAAAAACGTTGTGATGACTCGGGACAGGGAAATAAAAAAATCCCAAAATATTTGCTCCCGAGGAAAAGTTGATGAACATAACAATGATAAGAACAGGGCTGAAAGAACAAAGGTTTTCCTTAAATATTATACTTTAATAAAAACAAACAACCTAGCCCATATCTAAATTATTCAAACATTAGATGACTTCACCATAGTCAACACATTTCATAAATAAATCTAAGATTAATGTTTTAACCAACAAAAGAAGATAACCGACTGGTATTATTTCGAGCGTATGTATCCGAGCGTTTTTATCTAAGAAGTTTTATTTTTAAGTAATATAAGTGTATTTTTATTGAATGAGAATTCGCAACAGCACAGGTTCAAACACCTTTCTTTGTGAAAAATTGTATGTCGGGTTCGAATGCAGGGTCGCAGGATTCGAACCCGGGACCTTTACCTTTACGTTAAGCACCGTGTCAAAGCCATAACCGACTCGGCCACTGACGCCCCCAAAAATATGGTTTGCTGTCTTCAATCTCCTTGTATTTCAATGTTATTTACATCAACCAATGTGGCTTGGTTAATGTGGCTAAATGAGATTATATATATTAGGTCACATAAAACACATGGCACAGAAAAATAGTAAAAACGTGTATTCTTGGGGGGCATTTTTTTAACGTGTGTCCTGGGTTCCACTTAAAAAATTCATAACACCTATGGATTATCCATAAATCGACATTATTATATCCGTTGGAAAGCTGAATATCTCTTATTTCTATTTTTGTCAAGAATGACTAGATTTCATCCTACTAAAATGAGATTAATTAAAGAAATAATCAAGAACTCTTCAAGCATTTTTTATATATATCACGTAGACAAAACGATTTTAGCCAAAAACAACTTAATTTTGGATTATAAAAACGCCGTAAGCTTTTTCCAACTTTTAATTTTTTATTTAGACTCATATTTTTAGACGAGGATATTTTCGCCTCCTCCTCAGTACATTTTTCTAACATTTGTATAAATCAACAATAATAAAATAAATTTTTGGACATTTTGGATTACATTTTGAGTGCCAACAGACGACTGGATTTTTACTCGACTGGTAGATGTATTTCTATCATAAGAAGTCCAAAAAAAGAACGGAAAAAATGACGTAAATATGGCCTCTATAAGAAAAAAATACACGTACCGTCGAGAAAAAAAGCCAGTCGTCTGTTGACACTCAAAATGAAAGGATCGGGTTGGTTTTTAAAATATTATTAAGGTCCAAAAATTTATTTTATTATTCTTGATTTATACAAAATTTAGAAAAATGTACGGAGGCGGAGGCAGAAAGAGCCTCGAAATGCATCTACGTAAAAAATAACATGTTGTAAAAGCTTACAAAATTTTTATATTCCAGATTCTCATCATTATCCACCAAAAAAAGCAAGAAACAACTTAATTTTGTTTTTAAAGCTCGTTAAACTTCTCAAATAATTTTTTGGTGAATTTTTTTTCTCGCTGATATCCGTTGTTCCATTTAAAAATTGACCACCTGACATCTGGATTTGATCAAAATTCCATTTTATTATATCAATTATTAGAGAATTTTTTCAAAATGTCTGTGATTGTCGCTAAGTTAAGTGAAATAAAGACGAAATCACTAAAAACTCTTCAAACGTTTTATTTTAGATCTCAGATAAATGGAGATTTTTAAAACAAAAAACAGTTCAAATTGCTTTTCAGAGCTCGTTATAGCTTTCAAATACCAATTTTCTAAATATGTAAAAATGATAATTTTTGCCTGATTAATCCGGGGGTAATTTTTTTCTCGCTGATGACCGGTGTTTCGCATAAAAACTTAACGAAATAATAATTTATTTAATTTATCGAAATTTAACGCTATTAATTAGAAAGCTTAATTTTTATGCTTTCCTTGTTTTTCAGCAACATTTAGATAATATGCTACTCAGATCAGACAAAAAAAGCTCGAGCTTAAGAGCTCTAGAAAGCAAGCATTTATGTGAGAATTTTTAACACTTTTTTTTAAGTGGATAATTCAATTTATGTTATTATAAATGAGAAAAATAATAAGAAAACTCAGGAAATTTTTATTTCCATAGTACTTATTTATTTATGAAGGCGATTTTTGAGACTACGTGTTGTCAAAAAATTCTGCACCTCTGTAAAATTTCCGGTGGAACGGTGAAAAACATTTTTTTTGATAAGCGAAAAATGATTATCAACTTTGTTTCTCGCTAATAAAAATAGAAATTATGTATTTAAATATCTATAATAAGGCTATCCCACAAATATAATTTTGATTTAGTGACCGTGCGACTATTTTAAAATATATTTATTTTTTAATTAATAAACAAAATGAATATTGTTTTGTTATTTCATATAATAGACTATTTGAGGTGGTTAAACTAAAACTGAAATTCTGCAAGTCATCCACTTTCGGACGATAAGGCCGTCCTTCATTCTCCGAGGTCTAATGTATTTATAATTCTCTAAAAATCGGTTTTTCTCTCGAAAATAATGAAGAAAAGATAATTTATAAAATAAAAGTAAAAAAAAACATTGTTTCTTCCATTTGATTTTTGTTGGGAGAAAGTTTTAAAAGTTCAAATAATATACATGTAATAATATAAACAAAATTAATTAATTGTACAAAACGTATATATATTTTTGTTCAGCTAATACTGCAACACACATTCAATACGCATTCACACAAATAAATACATTCACACCCAATACTCCATCAACCTGCACACAATAACAAACCAATCCAATTGGGGTCGATGGGGTACTATTATAAATATTCCGCACAGCTGGAGGGGCGATGGGGATGCTATTCCACCATCATCCCCTTCCCATTCACTCTAATAAATACACTCACTCATACAAAATACACTCATACAGAACACATATCTTTACGGCTGTATATATATAATAAAAAATTCCCAATTCCCCTAAAAAGCGAAACAGGGAACCTTGAAGCTCGCTACCGTGTCCTACACGCTCTCTTTATGGAACCAAGGCATGAGCAACAGGCACCTGCGCGGTCTTTGACCCAATTAAAAAAACGTATATTAATAGGTGACATGGTAACATAACAATAATTCAATTGTATTGCATTATCATTTGTTTATTTGATATTTATTGATGTGCCCTTTTTCGTTTTCTATTATAAAAAATACAATTTAATGTATGATACATAAAATATATGGTTAATGCATTAACGAAGTTTTTATTAAGTTTTTATCAGTTACTATCAAATAAATTAAAAGTATGTGTAAACTCTTTTTATTATTTTCATTTTCTCTCAGTTTATTATAATAGCTTTAATGTTTCAAATGTTTTAATTTGAATCATTAAAAGTTCGGTCGGAACAAAAATTTCATCGTGGCAAAATAAATACATTAACACACCTTTCTCTTCCGTTTTAAAGTGGTAATATATCGACATTGTTTTTAAAATATTTAAAATACCTCTATGGATGAAAGTAAATATAAAAATTGGTATGGAGTTTGAATTAAATTTTTAATATTTTCGAAAGGGAATAAATATTAATGTACCTATATAAATAAATATGAATAAATTAACATTAGCAAAACAATTAAACATCAATATATAAATAAATGCAAATAAATATTTACACTGAGATATCACACATCATTATAAATTGAAAAACGCTCTCGAAATGTCACCGTATCATGATGCCAGTAACGTATCTAAGTTAAATCAATGCTGTAATGAAGAATGCGATTGCTTGATGCATCCTCTACTTCTAAGGCATTGCAGCATAATATGAAGCAGATATCACCGTAAGAGAAATGTTCCATAAATAAGTTCATACGTGTCATAAAGGAAACAATTATTTTAAAAAATCCCTTTTACATTGGTAAAGAATAACTAAGTCATATATTTTCGCAAACCTAATATTGTAACTTTAACGAAACATAAAGTACTATTCACTAATTTCGTGGTCCGTGGTTTCATCTCAACTAAAAACCTTAATTAATTATCATCATTACAATTAATTAAGGTTTTTAGTTGAGATGAAAAAAAGTCAATGGCACGAGCGGGATTCGAACCCACGACCTTCGGCTAGATACGCCGCTGCTCTACCACCTGAGCTATCGTGACTTCGATCCACTCGGACATCTTCCTATCTCAACCACACCTTATGAGTTTCCCTCCTTTTTGCCATTTTTAAATTCGTTGACTTTTTTTCATCTCAACTAAAAACCTTAATTAATTGTAATGATTTAATTGGTCAAGCGGTGGAGTTGAGATAGGAAGTTGATGTCCGAGTGGATCGAGGTCACGATAGCTCAAGTGGTAGAGCAGCGGCGTATCTAGCCGAAGATCGTGGGTTCGATTCCCGCTCGTGCCATTAACTTTTTTTCATTTCAACTAAAAACCTTAATGAATTGTAATGATTTAATTGGTCAAGTGGACCACGAAATTAGTAAATTTAAATAATCAATATGAAGTACGCTTCATTAAAACTCTCCGTGGCCATTTCAATTGTCGTCGAGAATCTAAATCGATTACACGACATTTGAAAAATGGCAAAAAGGTGGGGTTGAGATAGGAAGTTGATGTCCGAGTGGATCAGGTCACGATAGCTCAAGTGGTAGAGCAGCGGGGTATCTAGCCGAAGATCGTGGGTTCGAATCCCGTTCGTGCCGTTGACTTTTTTATCTCAACTAAAAAACCTTACTTAATTGTAATATATTAATTGGTCAAGCGGACCATAAAATTAGTGAAATTAATTATAATGTACTATGCAAAATTTATATCTCGTCTATTTATATTTAAATCTATATATCTATATAAGTATTGGGATTTTTGGGCTTGATTACGCCGGGTAGAATTTTTTTCACACATATGTCGTGCGTTCCCCATAATAATTCATTACTTCTCTAACTCTTATCTAATCTAACCGTCATAAAATTTAATCTCATTTCTTTGAGGCTGTCAACAACTTTTACATTTTGTGTAAATATAAATGGAATCAAAATAAAGAAATTAATCTTCTCAAAAGTTTCATTTTATTCATTTTGTTCTTATTTATTTACAAAAATAATAATTGCGCTATCACTTAATTTTCAAAGTTTCCAAACAACTGCAAACTGTTCTTCTTGATCGGTGTAAAAATCATCATTATTATTGTGATTTTCAAGAAACAGAAAATCGCGACGATCAGGATGGAAGATTGATTGTTTTAATTAATTAAGGTTTTTAGTTGAGATAAAAAAGTCAATGGCACGAGCAGAATTGAATGTTTTATCTCAACTAAAAACCTTAATTAATTGTAATATATTAATTGGTCAAGCGGACCACGAAATTAGTGAATTTATTGATTGTTTTATTTGACCACAAATGTGTATTAATTTTTTTTAGGATGATTAAAATGTATACAATTTTGCTTCTTAGGTATCGCCAATTCACTTGCCGGTGGATTAATTTTTTTCATCTTTCTGCACTGTAAGTTTATTATTTTATATATTATATATATTTTATTATTTAATTGTGAAAAAAACCGGTTGATTATATTTAACTGTCTCATAAAAATTATTTGCTTAATCCTGGCTATACAAAAATTAATACCTTGAAAGTATTTATTTGTTGTCCCAATGTAATTTACGATTTTTTGTGTTTTTAAATTAATTATCATACCTCATGGTTTTATTCCGAAATGAACGATGGTTACACTTTTATCGCCACTTCCCTACTGATTACTCAACTCGCAGGTAGGAATGTACTTGAAAGACATGAACCGAGTTGGTGGGGATGTCCAAACCGGTCATTTCAACCTAGAAAAAATAAATAGTTTAATAATAGTTTGTTTGCTTCAATTTAAAACATGTTTTATACATTTTTGTTCCAACTTGATACTTAGGACCATGCATTGCAAATTTTTTTAGGAGGGGGGAGTCAAGTAAAGTTTCCAACCTTTTCTTCATTTCATTATATTTAATTGTCTATCGGCCTAATTACTTCTTTGAATTAATTAATCTTTTTACGGAATGTTTTGGTCGAAATGAAAAAGCTAGTGTCACGAGCAGGATTCGAACCCACGATCTTCGGCTCAATTTGCCGCTGCTCTACCACTTGAGCTATCGTGACTTTGATCCACTCGGACACTAACCTCCTATCACAACCCCACCTTTTGAATTTTCTCTCCTTTTCGGTATTTTTCGTTTGTTTTACCTTTTATAAGCCTCTTTGAAGCATCTAAAAAATTGAAATTGTACAGCTTCAATTTTGCCTAAAATGAATCGATTCTTCTTTTCCTGATGGATGTCTTATTTGTTATAATTCCATTTTATTTTTCTTTAATGAGAAAGTGAAATAATACTTTTTATACTTTGCCTAATTTCTTCCCCTCCTGCTAAGCCAAATTAATTATTAAAATAATTAAATTAATTAATTGATTAAACCAAATTTTCAAATTTATATACCAACTCCCCACCACAACACTGAACCTTTCGAACCTTTCGAATTTTCCCTCCATTTTTCCATTTTTCAAATATGAAATCTGGATTCGATTCTGGGTGACTTACGAAGTGGCCACGGTCAGTGAAGTTATACTTCGTTTTACTTATTAAATCCATTATATTTAGTGGTCTATTGACAAAATTACTTCTTTCAATTAACTAATCTTTTTACGTAAGGTTGAAATGAAAAAGCTAGTGTCACGAGCGGGATTCGAACCAACGACCTTCGGCTCAATACCACTTGAGCTATCGTGACTTGGACCACTCGGACACCAACTCCCCATCTCAACCTACATCCTTTCGAATTTTCCCTCTTTTTGACATTTTTCAAATGTCGTGTAATCAGGATTCGATTCTCTTCATTGTGGAATCACTAAGTCCTTATCACGGAAAGTGCACTTTTTATCAGAAAACTAAGCACTTATTGCCTTATCTGTCTTTGGTTTCACTCGACACAGTAGAGATATTCACTCTCTGCTTTTTCCATAGGTGTTTGTTAAGAAGTGACTTACAGATGCTTATAATTTTACTTGCTGCCTGCTGACGAAGAGGAGTTTATTCGTTTTTCTATTTGAAAAAAATTACGAATCTTTTAACTTGCCTCATACCTGACGCTTTCATTTTTGAAGCTCCATCGTCAGCACAATTTTTATGTGCCTAGTCGTACTTTCGATCTAATGGATGAGATGGTTGCCCCTTTTTTTGATAGTTGGTCGGCATGTCGTCTCTTTCTGTACCTTATTTTCCCGAAACCCAAGGCAAACTAAGGACCATTTTAAAAGGTCGTCAATAATCAGGCCTAGTCCTAATTTCAACGATCCACCTTAGAACATCTAGCACATAAAAATTTTTCAGAGCATAGGAGACAATAGAAATTTTTAAGCCAGAGTCAGTCGAATTCCGGAGATTAAAGCACATGAAAACCATTTACTAAAAAGTCGTCAGATTGGCTTTTTACATCCGTCCATGATTTGCCTGAGTAATGAGCAGAAATCATCTTTATAAGTAGTTAATGCTCCTTTTAGATCTTCGGTGCACCCAATGTCGTTAACATACACTAAAAAGAGGGATCTAAAACGTAGCCTTGTGGAACCCTATAGTTTACGACTGGAACCGTTCAATACAACACCCCGTATTTCCGTTCATCCAACTTTGAACTTAAATTTCACGATCTACGGTGTCAAGAGCATTTGGATTATTTATTAAAAAATCCAGCAACCTTCGTACCATTGTAAAAATTTCAAAGATTTCAAAATAAATATTTTCATTTTTTTTAGATGCTTCTTGGATAACAAGGTAGACAAGCCTTCTACTCAGATTATGAGATGTGCTTCCCTGTTGTGCTTCAGGCTATTAACCAGCCTCCACAGCTTTGCCAGAGGTTCCTTGGTGTAGGATTTTCTTGTGGTTTTTCTTACTCTAGTTGCAGAAACCTACACCTACCTTCACAGCAACATAAAATGTGTTCTGCGGTCTCCTCCTCTTCCTGGCAGTATCTTTACAATGTTTCTTCTGTCTGTACTCCTATCCGGTGCGTATGCTTTCTTAAGTCGCAGTGTCCAATCCGAAACGGCTCACCTCGTGTTCTCATCCACGGCCCTTTTTCTCAATCCGAGTTCCTTCATTCTAGCCTGTGACCCCTCCTAACCCGTGGTTACAAGGGGGGTATCCGGGCACAAAATAAAGGTGCAACCTCTCTAAAGCACAAGCTGTACTCGCGTCAGCCTAGGGTCGGCATGGGCGGCGGGTGCCTTAGCAGAGTCACACGAGGGCCAGTGCACTAAATCCTGTCTGCATCTGTACCACGGGGTGACTTTTAGTGAGTTTCAAAACAAGCCCTAACCAGCTCTAGTCACCACTGGGAAAGGTTTCGTGGTGACGCCCCTGGCGGGAAATTAGGCAGAGGCTGTCTTCTATTTTTGACCTTCGTGAAGCTTGCGTATGGCCAACGGAAAACCCCCCGGCCTCACGGGAGACGTTGCGACCGGACGACAGCATGTAAGCGTTGAGGACGTCATGATCATGCTACAGTCCCTCGAATGCGTAATTAAACGGATGGAAGCGGGTAGTGAGTCGGTGTCTTAGACTCGAGTATGCTTTGCATTGTTGTGTGCGGCGTGGTACCCTTGGGGAAGCGAAGGATCGGATCACCTAGGCTAGGCCTATGGCGTCCCTCGAATGCGTGCACCAGGTGTAGGCTGAGCTCGATAAGAGACTTTACCGTAGACAGTATTAATCTAGGGGTGGGCAGCAATTCCACTTTAAACTAAAACCGCTGCCGTTCCCGGAAGTTTCTACGCTAGGGGACCCTCTATACTCAGAGAGATAGAGTGGCCTTCTCTATCTAGTGAGTACGCAGGGAGGGACGGGCTGATGTATTTCAGCCCGTTAGCCCCTCGCGCGCGGCATACGACCCGTTGCACAATGCGGGCCCGACCATTCGGAGTGGACAAGCGGAGAGCGTGGTTGTTCTGGCCCTTAGGGGCTGGGAAACCTCTACACGAATGCTGCGGCGGTAACACCATCCCGTCGTATGCGGAAGTGCGTCAGCTCTCATCTTGAGAATCAAAACGTCCGATAAGGCCGAACAGGCTAGGTGCGGACGTTAAAGATCCTCTTGTCTTTTTGACGATGAGTATTCGGGAACGAACTGTCCAATCAGGAATCCAACCAGAATCCTGGTCCGGTTGCCTTCCAGTAATTCTTTTGTAAGTTTTGCCTGACGGTGCATAGAAGGAACGTCCAACCGTCAGTTCGATCTTGGGGTTCAACCCATAGACCCCATCTCCCGTACCATTGTCGGTTTTGTTTCCGTCGGTATACCAGTAGGAGATTGCCTTTAGCGGTGCTCCTTTGGCCCATTCTTTCCGTTCTGTACTTTGTACTTTTTGGTGAAGTGGTACTTTGGAACAGTGGCATCAATTGAATATAATTAGCAATGGCATAATTGTCTAACAAGTTCTACTGACATGCATTTCAAAGTTATTATATATGAGAGTCGATTATTTTAGTTTTAAATAATATGTAAGTAGAACAGGGAAATAGAAACAGCCTAGAACTTACCCTGAGCGAAGGAAGACAGAAGTTTACAAATCTACCTGTGAATGTAACCAAGTGGGTATATTGGTTAATCCGGAGGAAAATAAAAGCATATGCTACCAATCAGTCGGGATAAATCCAAGCCGGTGACAACAAAAGAGAAGTAAATTTGTTCCGACTTCAAAACACCGAATAGTGAAGACAGGGCACAAAATAACCTGGAAAAAATGTCGTGGAAAGACAAATATATATAAAAGAAAACTATTGTCTTAGATTCCACATCATCAAATACTTCAAAGATTCTACTAAATAAGAATAAATGTACAAAAAGTTACCAAAGCAAAAAAGGTTCTTAGGTCATTAGGCATAATTATTCTCTAAAAAATACAGTCACGGATAAAACATAAAAAAAACAGTCGAGTCAATTCGCTAAGATTAGAAGAAAAGCAGACAGACTGTTCATATTTGTTCATAATGATTCCCTGTGAGAAACAGCCGGCTAATAAGTTGTACGGGGATGGCCGGTGGCGAAGTAGCAGGGGGTGGATTGACTGCGCCCTCGGGGCCCCAGATAAAGAGCCGAAACCGGGCAGAACGCCAACAACATCCGCTTAGCTCTTTGTACGCACTTATCTCGGGCAGATTTAATATTTGGTCTTTACAGTAGTAGGCGTTAATAACAGTTTTTATTTGGAATAAGATTGAGAAATGTTTTTTTGTAACGGTTGGTCGATTTCCGATCTTTCTTGCGACATGCGCTTATAAGCGGGAGGCGACGTGCTATGTACTTATGCTAAACGTGACGTGAACATTTAGCTTACGCGTTTCACAACTTTTTGAATAGGGGAAGTCAGGGTTGCAAAAATGCAATAACCCAGAGAGATATATTCTAAAACCATTACCATTGGCCAGTCTAGTAAAGAAGACCTCTCGATCAAGATGGCACCATATACTGATACACTTACGCATCTCGAACGAAAGGAGATACGTGCAAGGAGTAATCAGACCTGGAACCAAATATTGTTCTATACCATGATGAAGTCCCTGCAATCGACAGAAGTACCCAGTTCAATCTGCATGAAAAACAAAATTACAGCTATCAAGTAAGCCACGAAAACACTAAGTTGAAACATTAGCCCAAAGATGGTGCCGAGTTGACAAACAAACAGATTAGGTATGCTACATAAAATCATTTTTTGCTGGGTTACAAGATATGTGGGAGTAAGAGGCAATGAAAGAATA